TCCTCCTCCTCCTCCTCCTCCTTTTCCTCCTCCTCCTCCTTTTCCTCCTTTTCCTCCTCCTCCTCCTCCTCCTCCTCCTCCTCCTCCTCCTCCTCCTCCCAACCCCGCCTCCTCCTCCTCCTCCTCCTCCTCCTCCTCCTCCTCCTCCTCCTCCTCCTCCTCCTCCCGACCCCACCGGGGTCAGCTTGTCGCCCCGGATCATATTTTGATGGCCCAAGGGCCCGGCAACGGGCCCCGGAGGCCGAGAGCGAAGAACGACGCCCAGAGTGAGCCAAAACAGGTCGTCGGAGACCACCAAGAGGGGCCTCTGGCGGCCGCTCGGCACGACTCCGACATCCCCCCGACGCCCTCGAAGAGGCGCAGCTGAGGGGGGACACACCGCACGGCCGAAGACTGCAGAAAAGTCCCGACGGCGGAGCTCTGGCACAGCAGCGCTGGTGCCCGGCGAGTTATTTCTTGCAGCGGGGCGGCCGCGTCTCGCGAGGGCGGCGCGGCCGCCGCCGGAGCCCCGCCCATGGCCGCCGCGGGCGCAGGCGCGGGCTCCTCGCTGGCGCGCCGCAGCCGGGCCAGCGCCTCCGCGGCGGCGTCGTTCTGCGCGGCCCGGATGGTCGCGTGCACGCGCCGCGAGCGGAACCTCGGCGCACAGCGCCAGAGAAGCGCAAGACCACTGTTGCATATTCTGCTGCTCCCCCCCGTCCTCCTCCTCCTCCTCCTCCTTCTCGCCCTCCTCCTCCTCCTCCTCCTCCTCCTCCTCCTCCTCCTCCTCCTCCTCCTCCTCCGCCTCCTCCGCCTCCTCCGCCTCCTCCGCCTCCTCCTTCTCCTCCTCCTCCTCCTCCTCCTCCTCCTCCTCCTCCTCCTCCTCCTCCTCCTCTCCTCCTCCTCCTCCTCCTCCCCTCCCCTCCCCTCCCCCTCCCCCCCCCTCCCCTCCCCCCTCCTCCTCCTCCCTCCTCCTCCTCCTCCTCCTCCTCCTCCTCCTCCTCCTCCTCCTCCTCCTCTCCTCCTCCTCCTCCTCCTCCTCCTCCTCCTCCTCCGCCTCCCTCCTCCTCCTCCTCCTCCTCCTCCTCCTCCTCCTCCTCCTCCTCCTCCTCCTCCTCTTCCTCCTCCCAAGGCTAAGGCTGCGGACTGTCTTGTCACAGATGACTGGAGGCCTCCATGCCCTTTCGCCGAGGGGAGGTTGAGAGATAGCCAAGCGGTCAAGAGGGGAAAAGGGCCGACCGAACGGAGACAACGACAGAATCTGCAGATAGAGAGGTAGGTGAGAAATGGCCGCGGGCGCCTGTATGCGTCTCCTCGGGCCCGCCGCACCCGCAGGAGCCCAGCCCCCCCGCCTCCCCCGTCTCTTCCACCTCTCCTCCTCCTCATCCTCCTCCTCCTCCTCCTCCTCCTCCTCCTCCTCCCTCCTCCTCCTCCTCCTCCTCCTCCTCCTCCTCCTCCTCCTCCTCCTCCTCCTCCTCCTCCTCCTCCTCCTCCTCCTCCTCCTCCTCCTCCTCGAGGGGAGGGCGCGGCGGCCGGGGAAGAGCTGGCCCCCTCTGGGCGCGGGCGCGTCTCCGCGCAGGCGTGCCCGCCGCGCCGCCACTCCACGCTGAAGACGCAGCGGAAGCCACCCGCGGCCGACTCGAAGCCGTCGAATCTGCAGGGGGGGCTCACCGACCAGCCACTATGAGTGTCAGCCACCATCATCATCATCATCATCATCATCATCATCATCATCATCATCATCATCATCATCAACATCATCAGCATCAGCATCAGCATCAGCATCAGCATCAACATCATCATCATCATCATCATCATCATCATCATCATCATCATCATCATCATCGTCATCATCATCATCATCATCATCCTCATCATCATCATCATCATCATCAGCATCAGCATCATCAGCATCAGCATCAGCATCATCATCATCATCATCATCAGTATTATCATCATCATCATCATCATCATCATCAGCATCAGCATCAGCATCAGCATCAGCATCAGCATCATCCTCCTCATCATTATCACAATCAGAAGCATCATCATCATCCTTATCTTCATCAGCAGCATCATCAGCATCATCAGCATCATCATCACCATCATCATCATCACAAGCAGAAGCATCATCAGCAGCATCATCAGCGTCATCGTCATCGTCGTCATCATCATCAGCATCAGCATCACCATCGGCATCATCAGCATCAGCATCAGCATCAGCATCATCATCATCAACATCAGCATCGTCTTGATCATCTAACTATCCACCATCATCATCATCAGCATCATCATCACAATCAACATCATCATCATCATCAGCATCAACCAGAAGCACCACCATCATCATCAGAATCATCAGCAGTCTCAGCATCATCAACACCATAAGCCTTATCATAATCATCATCACCAAATACAGCAGCATCAGCATCCGCATCAACATCAACAACGACGGCATCGTCATCATAATCATCATCATCATCGTCAGCATCGGCATCATCATCATCATAAATATCATCATCAACCTCATCGTCCTCACCCTCCTCCCGTTCACCATCAGAATCATCGTCATCATAATCAGCATCATCATAAACAGCAATACCTTCACCATCATCATCACAATAACCATCAAAAACATCGTCATACTCATCAGCATCATCATCAGCATAATCAGCATCATCATCAGAAGCATCATCAGCATCATCATCAGCACCATCATCATCACCATCACCATCATCATCAGCATCATCATCGTCATTGTCGTCATCCGCATCAGAATCAGACGCATCAGCATCATCATGATCACTATCAGCATCACAATCATCACAATCACCAGCATCATCATCATCATCATCATCATCATCAGCATCACCATCGTAATTATCATCATCAGCATCAGCAGCAGCATAAGCAGCATCAGCATCATCATCATCATCATCAGCATCATCATCAGTAGCATCATAATGATCACCATCATCAGCATCATCGTCATCATCATCTTCATCATTAGCAGCATCATAACCATCGTCATCATCATCATCAGTATTATCATCACAATAAGCATCATCACCAGCCTAATCCCCAGCAGCACCAGCATCATCATCATCAGCATTATCATCATCATGGTCATCATCATCATCATCATCATCATCATCATCATCATCATCATGAGCATCATCAGCGTCATCATCAGCATCATCAGCACATCATCATAGGCCTTATCATAATCACCATCACCAACGACATCAGCATCAACATCCGCATCAACGTCACCAACGACATCCTCGTCATCATAATCATCATCAGCATCATCATCATCAGTATCATCGTCATCAACATCATCGTTCTCACCCTCCTCCTCATCGTCATCATAATCAACAATAACAACAACAACAACCTCCTCATCATCATCATCATCAACAGCAATACCTTCACCAGCATCATCACCATCACCAGCACCAACATCGTCATAATCATCAGTAGCATCACCATCATCACCATCATCCGCACCATCACCATCATCATCAGTAGCATCACCATCATCACCATCATCCGCACCATCACCATCATCATCATCATCAGCATCATCATCATCATCAACATCATCATCATAATCACAGGCATCATCAGCAGCAGCATCATCACCAGTAGCATCATCACCCTCGTCATCATCAACATCATCATCAGCATCCTCATAATCATCGTCATCATCATCAGCACCATCAGCATCATCCTACTCTTCACCATCATCATCATCATCATCATCATCATCATCATCATCATCATCATCATCATCATCATCATCGTCAGCATCATCATCATCATCATCATCATCAGCGTCATCATCACAATCAGCATCATCACCAGCATAATCATCAACAGCACCATCATCATCATCATCAGCATCATCAGCATCACCAAAATCATCAACATCATCATAAGCCTTCTCATAATCATCATCACCAACAACGACATCAGCAACACGATCCGCATCAACATCAAGGCATCATCGTCATAATTATCATCAACGACATCATCATCATCATCATCATCATCATCATCATCATCATCATCATCATCGTTCTCACCCTCCTCCTCCCCCTCCTCCTCCTCACCATCATAATCATCGTCACCATAATCAGCATCACCATCATCAACAGCAATATCTTTACCATCATCATCACCATCACCATCACAAACATAGTCATAATCATCAGCATCATCAGCATCATCAGCATTAGCATAATCACCATCATCATCAGCAGCATCATCACCATCATCACCATCATCAGCACCATCACCATCACCATCAACATCACCATCACCATCACCATCATCAGCAGCATCACAATCATCATCATCATCATCATCATCAGCAGCAGCAGCAGCAGCATCAGCATCATTTTCAGCATCATCAACATCAGCAGCATCATCATCATCAGCGTCATCATCGCAATCAGCATCATCAGCATCATCAGCGTCAGCATCATCATCATCATCATCATCATCATCATCATCATCATCATCATCCTCATCCTCATCCTCATCCTCATCCTCATCTTCATTATCATCATCATCATCATCCTCATCCTCATCCTCATCATCATCATCATCATCATCACATCATCATCATCATCATCATCATCATCATCATCATCATCATCATCATCATCATCATCATCATCATCATCATCATCATCATCATCATCATCATCATCATCATCGAATCCATCGAATCCATCGGGAGCCTATCGACAACTGCAGACTCCAGGCTGAGCCAGTCCCCCCCCCTCTTTCTCGGCCCCCTCGGAGGAGAAGCACTCCAAAGCGCCGCCAAGAACCCGTCGGCGAGGGACGGGCCCCTCGGCGGGGGCAAGCGGTCCGCTCCCGTGACTGGCTGGCTGGCGCCGGGAGGCGCCCGGTGCGTCGAGGCATGTGACCCGGCAGCGGGGCTCCCCGAGAAGCCACTCCGAGGCGAGGCCAGGACGAGGACAGACGTGTCCGAATTCTCCGGGGCAACTCGGGTCCGCTCCTCCTCCTCCTCCTCCTCCTCCTCCTCCTCCTCCTCCTCCTCCTCCTCCTCCTCCCGGCTAACTCGGGTTCGGATTGCCGACAGACGAACCCGACTTGGCCCTGACCCGAGTCACCCCTGATGGTTTGGGGCTCTGGGCGCCCGAGTTATCCAGGGGAACTCGGGCCCGGGGCAACCCGGGTTCGGATTCCCGACAAATGAGCACGAGTTAGCCCTGACCCGAGTTACCCCTGATGATGCGGGCCTCTGAATCTAGGTGCGGATGCATCGAGAATCTCTGAGATCCGGCAGCTCTGGAGCGTGCATCGGGCGCCGCGGCCGTCTCGGAGCGTTTCGGAACGCGCCGAGAGCGTCGAGGCATGCTCTGCAACGGATGTTTCCTCGCTCTGGCCCCGCCCGACGCTCCGAGGGCCAGAAGAGGAACACGGGCCACCGCTGCCGAGAACCCGTCGATGGAGGACCGGCCCCTGGGCGGTGGCACGCCGGAGCGTCATCTTGTACTGTCGAGGAGACGTAAGTCAAGGGGCCCCAGGACACACAAATAAATACACACAAATAAAAAGATTCCCCATATTTTCCTATGTTTTCGGGGTTTTTGTCTTCCCGCCCAATTCCCATATTTTCCTATATTTTCTGGGGAATCGACGATTAATTGTGTCTGTGTGTTTCTTTCCCTCCTGAGTAAGACTCGGGTACGGGGGACTCGGGCTGGCCTGACGGGGGCCATCATAAAAACGACGAGACCCACTCTGCAATTTGACGCAGGCTCCCGCTGCAGACATCCCACGGACACGGGACCGGTCCAGGACGCGCTCGTCAAAAAAATCGACAGACCCGAGTTCCGGCTTCCTCGAGTCTTACGTTTCCCCGATACTGGGGCGACGCTCGGCGACACATCTCCAACAGATCGGCGCTTGGCTCCCGCTAGCGACTCCGCACGCTCCTGGGCGGTGTTGGCTATCGGGGCCCTGTCGACGATGATGGGCGATTGCGTGTCGATGCCCAATGTGTCTGAATAGTTATCCCCCCCTCACGTTGCCCCAGACCTGCCGCCGCCTGGTTCTCGGGCCAGAAGTCGGGCAAGGCCTCGGGCAGCCTTTCGGGGCGACCCTGGCACCCCTGGAACGCCCTCGGCACGAAACCAGCTGTCGAGATGCCCGACAACTCCCCTGACCCGTATGCCCCCCTGGCTTTCAGTGCGAGGCCCCAAAGCTCCCGACCCCATGCCCGGAGCCAGTGCTTCGCCCCAAATCCAGCCTTGGAATCGATGACACGTTTCCCGTGGGCGGCGAGGCGGGGCAATCCGCTCCAGCGTGGCAACGATGCAGGGGCGCTACAAAGCGAATTGGCCGGCATGCAGGCGGGGGGGAGGAGGAGGACGGGGCGGCCGGGGGGGGGGGGGGAGGAGGGCGAGCACGCAGAGGCGGAAGACTTCCGCCACGAGCAGCCGGAGCGGCCCAGAATCGAGGAGACACGCCTGGACTGAAGAAGTCGTCGGAGATCCGGGCTCCCCCCATCCACCGTCGCCGCCGAGCAGAGGGAGGGGGGGATGGGAGAGAGCAGGGCTGGACCTAAACGTTGTTTTTCGTGTTGTGTTCGTCTGGTTGTTCGCTCTGCACTGCCCGTCTCCCTGTACCTCTAAACACAGCTGAAGCCCAGCAGAACAGCGCTTAGGTCCGGCCCTGGGAGCGAGCCCACAGAAAAAGCGCACTGCGCGCCCCGCCGCGTGCACGCACGCGCCCCCACGCAGTCCGCGAGGCCAGCCTCGTGATACGAACGTTCGTGGAGCGCGCACGTACTTTCGATCTGGGCTGGACTCCTCCTCCTCCTCCTCCTCCTCCTCCTGCTCCTCCCCCTCATCCTCCCCCTCCCCCCTCCTGCTCCTCCTCCTCCGCCTCCTCCTCCTCCTCCTCCTCCGGCTCCTCCTCCTCTCCTCCTCCTCCTCCTCCTCCTCCTCCTCCTCATCATCATCATCATCCTTCCCCCCCTCCTCCGCCTCCTCCCCCTCATCCTCCACCTCCCCCTCCTCCTCCTCCGCCTCCTCCTCCTCCCCAACGCTGTTTTGCTGGGCTTCGGCTGTATATTGTTTTTCGTTCTGGCAGGGAGGTACAGGAAAACAGGCAGTGCAGAACGAAACACAAAACAAAACGAAGGTGCGTGGAGCCCGTGCAGTGGAGGTCAGTCCACAAGAAACCTTCCACAAGAAAGCCAATCCTGAGACCCCAGGTCGTCCCTTGATTTTTGGTGTGGGAGCGTCGCGCCTTCCATCGCAAAAAGCCATCGAATCCCAAGAAGCCCAGGACACCCTGGAGGCAGGCAGGGTGTTTCTTGGCATGGGCCTCCACTGCACGTCCTTCTGAAAGTCCTGGCAAGGGAAGTGGAGGAGGTGATGATGGGCCAACTTCCCACTACCACTACCATAGGTAGGACGGGGGAGAAGGGAGGAGGGGAAGGAGGGGAGGTCCTTCTCTTTTTTTGACGTTGAGCGGACTTCTAGCAACGGAGCTGTAGCGTTCAAGGTCCTCCTCCTCCTCCTCCTCCTCCTCCGTCTTCTCCTCCTCCTCCCCCTCCTACATACAGTAGCGAAGACGGAAAATCGGCCCATCAAGGGATTTGGACGCCCGAGATGGATACGGACAAAAACGAGTACGATGCCCAACAACACATGTTGCCCAAAATTGGTAGCAGCCGCTGTTGAGCAGGCGGCTTCCTGTCTCAAAGGGACAACGTCCGCGGCGACACCGACAGCGAAACCTGATCAAAATGAACAAGAACGTACTGATGTCGGTCTTTGGACACAATTCTTTCCGTACCCATCCTGGGGAAACCAAAAGGTACCGATACTACTGCCCGGACCTCTCCTGGGGTGCGTTCTGACCAGGATTTCGAAGCGAATCCAGCGGTGGCGATGAGGGCCTCCCAGAAGGCCCAAAAAAAGCGAAAACGGGACGATGGTAGCGGTATGGGTACCTCATCCTCCTCTAATGATCAAAACGATCAAGAACTGATGTCGGTCTTTGTACCCATTAATTCTGTTCATGTCGGTCGGAAGAAGTAGGTAAAAACATGAAGTAGGAAGGCGGGGAAAGTAGATTTGGTCCAGGCCCCCCCAGAGAATAACAGAACACAGCAAGAGCACCTCGGTTCCTGAAGTAGGGAGGCGCTTGAAGTGGATTTGGACCTGGGGATCCAAAAATAACGACTTTCAACGACCGACGTGCACCCATTCCTGAAGGAGCCGAACTCCATGCACCGACGCTGTTTGCAGCCCCGCACCTAACTTCGCACAAGAAAGAGGATCCTGCTGTATGCGGGGTCCTGGTGTGTACAGTTTTCGATGTTTCACCGGGACAGCGGGGGAAACAAATATACACCACACCACCCCGACGTCGTCCCCGACCCTCACACAGCCTTGCGATTGGAAAACAGCCCGCCACTGGTGGTGCATGCGCTCCAGCTCCCGCTGTCGGTCGTCCCGAAGGGGAGATGGGCGCCCCTCCTCCTCCTCTGGCCATCGCTCGGACGTCCATTCCCTGTGTTTTGTTCGGTTTTGTGCGTGGTTTTTTCGCCAAATGATCAAGGATACTCCTCGATGGTCCTCGCCGAAAGAAAAATACACACGTCCGGGCGGGCGGGGCGGCGCTGGGTGGCGAGCCCCGCCCCCCCCCCCCCCCCTCCCCTCCCCTCCCCCTCCCCCCCCCCGCAGGGGGCGGCAGGGAGCCGCAGCGCGTAGCCGCGCTCCACGCACAGCGCCGCGAGCGCCTGGAGACAAGCGCGTGCCACCACTCGCAAAGTCATTGCTCCATCCTCCATCCTCAACCCTCCTCAATCCTGGTCCTCAATCTTCCTCAATCTTCCTCCTCCGTTTCCCCATCCCCCTCCTCCTCCTCCTCCTCCTCCTCCTCCTCCACTGGCGCGTTCCACTACACGCAAAGTAACTACTCGCAAATGGCTGGACATGCCACGGGGGATTTGCGAAACAATATAGGAAAACAAACTCTATACGCCGACGCTTTTTTCCGGCCCTGCACTGACACTTGCACAGAAAGCGGATCCTAATGTGTACGGGACCCTGGTGTATACATGTGTCGTTGTTCCCCAAGGAAAAAACAGAAGGTACACACCACACCACCCCGACGTTGTCCCCGACCCTCAAAAAGTCCTGGGAATGAAGAGCAACCCGCCACTGGTAATGCATATGCTCCAGTCTCCGATGCATTACATCGAAGCAGACAGGTGCGTTTTTGTCGGACGTTTGCCAATAGGCACAGTTCGAGCTGTGAAACGCGACCGGTGAGCGTGGGGGGAGTGCCGGCTCGAGGGAGGGAGAGAGAGGGGGCAGGGGGCAAGCCAGGTTCGCAGGCGTCAAATCTGACGTCCTACCCCTCCCTGCCATCCGTTACCGTGGCGTGGATCTCCCCTCTGCTCGCGCAGTCGAATGTCGAGCAGGACAGTGATCCCCAGAGGGTGCAGTCAACCCGTACGATTAGAACGCAATGGGGACGCGCGGTAAGGGCGCAAGGGCCCTGAAAAGACACAGCGGCACTCTGCGGGCGGGGCGCGGCCAGCGAAACCGGCCAATGATGGGCCGAAGGGGGCGGAGGCAAAGGCAACAATGGGGCAATGTTCATTCTTGCTATGCGGGTTGCCTGTACTGCAGGTCCGTGCCGTGTCGACCCTGGCGTTGGTTCCTGACACCGCGCTGGATCGTTCAGCCTTGAACGATCGGCCGTCTCCGCAACGTCCGATCGTTCAACATCGACCGATTCTGGGCCGCCGTCGGCGTTCAACGTTGAACGTCGGCGGCGGGGTCGCCGCTGGTCGACACGACGCGAACCTACCGTAGGTGCGTTCGCGCCACATCCGGCATCTCCCGACGACACGCAAGAGTGATCTTGTAGGCAAGTGCGACCTATGGCGCGCGGCTTCCTGGGGGGCCGCGATAGGCCCAGGTCCAGGCGCACCAAACGTCACTCCAGCGAAAAGTCACTCTTGCGTACGCGCACGGCCAGACGAAAGACGGCCCCGGGGCCCAGCGAGGCCCACCAAAGGCCGAACATGGCGAAAACGGCTCCGCCCCGATGTCTTCCATACGTCGACTCTCCAGGGAAGGACCCGGGCTCCTCGCGTGGAAGGATCCCAGCGGGGGGGGTGCTGTCCTCTTTCGGCCGCAATGCTGTACGGCCAGGCCCAGGACATAACAACATCCGTCAAGAACATGAGACCCTCCACCGGCCACGCTGAAAAACATTCGAGTGCACCCTCCCCCAAGATGCACGAGCACACCCAACAAACGCGAAAAACATGAGGTTCCCCTCCCCGAACCGACCTCGGTTTTATACCTCGGGCCGACCGTAGCCGAATCCCCTCCCATCCTTTCCCACTGCGCGGATGTGTCTCTCCATCCGCGGACGCGCGTCATGGCCGACCCTGAACTCCAGCAGAAAAGGACCCCGTCGCTTCATGATGCATGGGGTGAAAGGAAGCGGCGCCCCTTGACTTTGTTCGGCCCCTGGGGGACGTGGCGATGTCGAAGCGAATCCTGACGGAGGGACTCGGGCTGCCGATTGCTGCATGCGTAGCTCATCGTGCTGACCGTCTCGACCCTGTCCCTGTCAGTGGGCTGGCTCGTAGTCCTGGTCTGGCAACACACTCACCAGAACCAGAACTCTGCGGTCCAGCGACACAGTCGTTGGACTCGCAACCCTGAGCCCCAGCGCACGATGGTGAGCTGGCTCCTGGTGCACCCGCAGGCGCCCGTAAATAGATGTGACATGTTTCCCATATCCAGCCTCGCCCGCCGCTCCCGCGTCGGCGCCGCCAGGTAGTTGAGCTTGCTGATCGCTGGAACGGCGCAGTCCTCCAGGTTGCGCCAGTGTTCGTGGGCGTTGGCCCGCGCGCGGGCGCGGCCGCGCGCGAGAGTCCGCGAATCCGCATGTGCGCGGTCGCGTTCCTTCTCCTCGCAGCAGCCGGGGCTCTCCTACTGGATTGGGACGCTGCGAAGATACCGACACGCGGCCGGATCCCAGGATAGCATAGGCGAGCCCGCTCCGATATTGCCGAAGTGCGGGCCTCAGGCGGCGTCGTAAGCCGTAAGCCCACAATGCATTAGACAAGGCGCTCGGCCATCTTCCATGGCCAGATCTGGGCGCCGAAGCTGATGCGACCTTCGACGTGCACATAGGAGCGTCTGCCGTCGCACCTGAGGTTCGCGAACTGCCCGAGGATCTGCGGGGTGTTGGAGACGAGGCCAGCGGTCTCCCCTGAAATACCCGCGCGCTGATTTCGAAACCCAAGTCGGCACTGGCCGAAGATGACCTCGCGCACGCTTGGCGCTACCAAAACCCCTGACCAAAGCAGCTCGTCGAGCAGCCGCGATGGGTCAGGCAGCTCATTGACGATGCAGCCGCCGAGCTGCAGCTGCAAAAATGCCACACACACACACACACACACACACACACATACACACACACACACACACACACACACACACACACGCCCGCAGCGTGAGCCGCGCGGGGCCGCGCCCTCGTAGGAGAGCAGCCAAGCGCGGGAATCAATTACGTTTGTAATTCAACGTCGCTCAATGACCGAAAGGCTGGCAGACGGGAGCAATGATTGCCGCTTGGGGTCTGTTCTGTCGAACGCACCTCTCAACACGCCCCCGCTGGCTCACGTCAACGAGGTCACAGCCCGCCACCAAGTCAAAGAGGGCACCTGCCCCCGGGCGGAGGCGGACAGCGAGTCTGCTGCACCGCGCCCCCCCGCCACGAACCTCCACGAATTCGGCGCCGCGGTCAACGGAGGAGAGGCAGGTGAGGAGGCGGCGAACGTTGTCGAACTTGGTGGACCAGCGTTCGAGCACACATGGCCATCTGCTGCCGGGGCCTGCAAACCCCGCGAACGCCGCGCCGGCAGACCTGAGGCGCGGTTGCCGCGGAGCTCTTCCTCGGCGCGCCCGCCGGTCTGACCCCGGTCGCCACCGACTGGGAAACCGAGAAGACACGGGGCCACGCCGGCGAGGTCGGCGCCGCAGTCGCCGCGGTGGTCCTCGACATGCTGCTTCCGTGCTTCGGGAACGTGGCCCTATTTTACCTCGGCGCTGAAGATGCTGGCGCGCCTCGTCGAAAGCGTAACTTCCGCGGCGCGCCTCTGCTTGTTGAAAGGCAACTGCAGCATGGCGCAAGACCTGGCGCCTCGCGGCAAATCAGGCCCAGGAATGCGCGTCGGCTCGCGGTTGCCGCCGCCGGCGCGCACCTCTGGCGCGGCGCCGCAGCGACACACTTGGTTGAGAATCAAGAAGACTGCGTCGCTGCGCGTGGCCCCCGGGGCCAAAGGCTCACGAGAAGCCCGGCGCGCGCCGAGGGGGCAACGCGCCGGCGTCGGCAATGCGATTCGCGGCCGGGCGTCTCCACCGAGGCCCGCGCGGCCCGAAAATCGCGACACCGGCGCCGGGCCACTTGACCCTGGCACGCCAGCCCAGAGGGGGGGCTCGAAGATAGGGCGGACCTCGCCCCGAGACGCGTCGCGTCGCGATCCGCGGCGCGCTGCGGCTTGCGCGGGGAAGCGCGCCGTCGGACAATGACCCGGCGGCGTCCTCGAAGTAGGCGGTGCGCACGGCGTCGCAGCCGCGGCCCCGTCGTGCTACTACGTGCCCCGCCCCCACTCCAGGACCCAGATGAGGCGGCCCAGCCCTGCTGCCAGCCCCTGCCCGGGCAGGTCGGCCCGGCCAGTAGCGCGGGCTGAACCGGCCTCCTCCTGGCGAGGCGGCTCCTCGGCGACGCAGTTGCCGACAGACCCTGCAGACGCCGCGCCGCCCACTTCTCTCGGGGTCGAATCGCGGCCGACGAACGCCAAGCCGGCATGTCCAAAGTCCGTGCACCCACGAGAAGATGGAGAATGGTTGGGAACGACAATCCCCGTAGTGTCGACGATGCGTTGCAGGATGAGCTGGGCGACGCATTAGCCTTGCTCGACAACGAAAGTCCGCAGATTGGCGCTGCGCATGATCACCTTGATCTCGCCGCGGCAGTCGGGGACACACCCCGCCGCCAAAGACGTCGACGCCCAGGAGGGCTATTCCTGGGCGCGGGGCAGCGCGCAGGCAGGCGCCCGGCGGCGGCGCAAGACTGGCCGCGCCCGTAGACACCAGTTCACGAGCATAGGTTGCGAGACTGACGTCCGCGCCGGCGCGCAGGTCGCATCCCGCAGTTCGCTGCCCGCGGCGCGCCTCTCGCTGGTGCTTGTGCGTTGGGGCCCAGAAGCTGTGTCTTGATTCTCTTCATAACGCGGCCGTCGCTGGCGCCGTAGCCCCGGCGGCCGCTGCCCGCCGCCCACAGCGCGAGCTGCTTGGGCGGCAGCCTCCAGAGGCAGCCTCCGGAAGGGTGGCTGGAGTCGGCCACGGCGTCGACCGGGGCGCGCAGATGGCCACTCGGGGCCGATTCTAAATCTAGGTAGATGGCGCCTGGGCTCCGCTGATTCGTGGCCGCGAGGCCCAGGAGGGCGCAAGGCGTCTGCACTCTACGCCTGTCTCCGCAACCCCGCTGAGGAACGGCGTGGATTGCAGACAAAGATGGGCGGGGATATCGAAGTCTGCGCCCTCCACGGCTGGCGCGCGCACGCTGCGCGGAGTGGTCGCGCCGTCGCGAGTAATCACTGCGGCAGGGCAGCGCACCTCCCAGCGCGCGACCTGTGACCTGCTGCCGACTCCTACCACTCAGGGCGGAATCGACTGCTTCTGCTCCGCGGGCACGGGCTTCGCCTTCCGGGCCTTGTCGGCCAGGTT